TTTGGCAGATCTAAATAATTTAGAGTCATGTAAGTCCAGCAATTAAAATGCTGAAGTAATCAAGAGAAGAGGAGGGACAGGAACACCAAACAGGATCTAATCAGATACTCAAAAGCAAATGTGGCAAGATTCATGTTGAGCTAGAGTTGATAGGCAAAGCCTTCATAGAAAGTCAAACGCCATCCTTGGGACCCTCAGAAAGGTTAAGGCCTGACCACTAACAGGACATTGAGAGCAGAGCAGAGATAGGCAGGTGCAAGGGACTTCTATTGCTCCTTGGGATAGAGGAGTCATTCTTAGTGATGGCAGAGACCTGAAGAATGGTGACATAGGATGGGGTCATAAAAGTGTTCAGGCTCAGAAAAACACACACAGGATAGGGCCTGCCACACAGTAGGCTCTCCATGAAAGTTTGTTCAGTTAATGATATAACAGCACATTCTTCATGGCCCTTTGCCAAAATTGGCAAGGTCGCCACGCACCTTCAAGGTTATGACGACAACATTTTCATTGCTGGAAGCTCTGCTGTGAGATCATGACATTTTCAAAGAGAAATTTCCACTTATTATGAAGGGCAACAGAAAACCTTTTGAGAATCACTATTCACCGGTAATAGTCAATTTCTAAGGGATCATGCCTCTAGAACAACTCAGCTTCAGGGAGTCAGTAGAGATCCTGAAGATTTCCCTGAAACCAAGGTCTTACAAGGGCAAGGCTGCACTGTTGGGTACAAATTTAGTCACAGATCATGCAGGCTACAGTTGAAGGTCAAGGTAAGTGGCCCATATTCATATTCCTTGTAGTGTATGGATATTCTTTTCTCATTTTTGAAAACAAAATGCCAATTATGAAATGGTTGTCAGAAAATCAAAGTCTTCCAGAAATAGCTTGATACTCTCTATACAATAAGGCTTAAAACAGCAAACCATGAAAAATACACTTCTTTGAGTTAAGTCATTTTCTTATTTTCACACTATACCTTATGAGTTTTATTTTTCCTACAATCTAAATGAGGCAGTGGCTGTGTAATGTCTGTGCTCTGAGGTATGATTGAGAAGGAGATTTAGCTAAAACACAATAATAAACATGAGTCTTAGTTGGGGTTTCTATTTCTGTGATAAAAACCAAGACCAAAAAGCAACTTGGGGAGAAAAGTGTATATTTGGCTTTCACTTCAGCATTGATGTCCATCACGGAAGGAAATCAGGAAAGGAACTCAAACAGGACAGGCTCCTGGAGGCAGGAACTGGTGCAGATGGAGGGGTGCTGGCTTGCTCATCATGGCTCGCCCAGACTGCTTCCTTATAGAACCCAGGATCATCATCCCAGGGATGGTACCATTCACAATGGGTTGGCTCTCTCCATCAATCACTAATTAAGAAAATGTCTATACCCTGATATTATGGAGGCATCTTTCCTTCTCTCAGATGAATCTAGCTGTGTCTACTTGACACAAAGAATCCAGCACAACTTATTAACCCACTAGTCCATCACCAGCATCTGAAAGTTTTGAATCATTCAGTGATTCAAACAGAGTGATATGCAGGAACATCATAAATCTGTGCACAGTGCCCTTGTAGACAGCAGTTACCTCTTTTAATGTTTAGCTGCTGTGTGATGTGCTGATGCAAGAGGAGACCACCAAGGGTCCTCTTTGCCAACCATCCCACTGTACCTTTCTAGTAACTGTCAAGATATAGCCAGAATATATTATATAAAGGTGTGAAAATGCCAAAGAACCATTTTTGTATTTATAAACAAATTTTGTTCTTTGGCAACTTCACAATTTCTTTATGCTTTTCTATATCCTTCTATCACAGCACCCATAACAATCCCTGCACCTTGTTGGCTTGCACAAGTCTGTCTTCTAGACAGAGATCTTTCTGATAGCTGCAGGACCATGCTTTCACACTTATTTCTTTCTCTCAAGTCCTGACAATAATGCCTATAACAAACTAAAGAGAGAGAGAGAGAGAGAGAGAGAGAGAGAGAGAGAGAGAGAGAGGAGAGAGAGCGAGCGCTGGGGGGAGAGAGAGATCAGATGAATGAATAATTCAATGTGTTCACCTCTTGATTTCTTACGGCATTAAAAGGGGGCAATATTTCTGTCTATTTCACACTTATTTGTGGAAGTTTTCCACCTTAAGTCTGAGGTGGGAAAGCATTGGTACTCAATTTTTCAGCGAATATATTTTTGAAGGACCATTGCAGTGGTTCACGTGCCCAGAAATGTCTATTGCTTTTTGCCATCTCTAGTTGACTATGGGGTGCCGAAGAGTTGTTTTACTATGTTTTGTTAGAAAACGTTTTGTAAAACCTTTGCTATCCAGGACAGCAGTCCCCCTCATAGCTGCGGAACTCCTCTGGGCAACACGGTAGAGCTGGTCCTGAAGGTGTGGGAGAACTGACCCTGAGGACGTGAAAGCAGAACTGGCCCTGGCCCTTACTCATCGCTGTAAGGAATAAACTAGCAAGGTCAGTGATGGAGAGCTTGCCCTGGTGGTGAGGACAAAGGAGCTCTGGCGGCTGACCAACCAACCCTGCAACTACGCAGGCCAGAACCAGGCTTATGAGTTGGCCCATCCCAATATCCACACCATCTGTGTTCTTCTGGAGCACATGAAGTAACCTGTCTTGCAAACCCCAAACTGTAGGGTCTTCATGACACAGGGCAACAACAGGATATTCAAGAGAAGTCCTAGTGAGGGTCCAGCATCTGTAGTGTAGCAGAAACCAGAGCCCTCAAACCAGACCAGTGACTCTTTCCAACGAACATTTTCAAGTGCAGACACATGGATAAAGGGTTTCCTGTGTGACTCACTGTGTCACACTACAGCTTCTGTGATGAGACGGATTTTTTTTCCTCTTAAACTTTTTTTTTTATTTTATGGGCGGCAGGAGGTTGTAAAGGGCAGTAAGTGGATATGAAGGGATGGGGAGGTGAATGGGATGGATATTCATGATGTGAAAGGCACAAAAAATAAGTAAAAAATAAAGTTAATAAAAACCTTTGCTAACACTTCACAGAGAAGATGTTAGCGAGTTAGTAAGTTTTATGTTTATAGTTACTACACTGTTGTAGCTGTGTTCTATGGAAATGTAGCCAGTATGTAACACTAGTTGTGAAGTAGAAATGATACTTTTAACCACTGGAAATCATTAAAACACACTTAAAGTAACTTCATTTAAAAGAAACCCATCCATACCTTTAGGAAAGGAGACTCAGGGAATGTGATAGGAAATAGAAAAAAATCTCTTTTGGCAGCTCAACTTTCTATTTTATAAAGCTCTGTACAACCCAACATTCTTGAGACATTAACATAATTGATAGCATTATCCCTTCATTTGAGACTATGGAGGAAGCTAGGACACAGGCCCAGACGGCCACCATGCCAACATCACTACTATGAGCCAGTGTGTGGTGGGGAGAGAAAGAGAAGCAGAGTGGTTTATGCCCTAGGAAGAGATGTGGATCTGGAGACTCAATGACAGTGAGAAACAGCTTAATATGAGAGGCCTGAACTGCCAACGGAGGTCATGGCGTTGTCTAGGCTCATGCTGCCTCCAATGGCCATGTCTCAGTCTATGGTCTTACAGCAGAAGGGATCTGTGTTGATGTCAGTGGCCTGTGTTACCATCAAAGACTATGCTGATATGGTGGTCTGGGATGACATCTGAGCACATGTTGATGACCCGGTGAAGGACTGAGCCCCTCACCTGGGAAGCTAAGAAGAGTTGGCCCTGATGGCATGAGTTGGGGGAGAATTGGTCTTGCCCCTGGCCTGGGCTGCTTGGGAGAGCTGGCCTTGGTGGCATGGATGTGGGAGAGTTGACCAACTCAGCAATCCCCAGGCCCAGATCCAGGGCTTTGAGTTGGCCTACCCTAACATCTACCCTACCTATGACCTGCTGGGGTGTGTGACGTGGACAGTCCTGCGGAAACAAAGTGGCAGGATCTCCATGACTCAGGGCAACAGCAGGATATCCAAGAGGAGTCTTGGTGAGGCTCCAGTATTGATAGGGTAGCAGAAACCAGAGGCCTCAAACCAGACCAAGGCCACACTGTAATGAATATTTGCAAGTAAAGCCGTTTGGACAAAAGGAGATGCTGTGTGAAACACCATGACACAGTGCAGCTTCTGTGGCAAGATGTCTTTATTTTATTTATTTATTTTTTATGGGGACGGGTTACAAGGTGGAGAGCAGGTATAGAAGAACTAGGAAATAGTGGGATTGGGGTGCGTGGTGTGAAATTCACAAAGAATCAATAAGAATTATGAAAAAAGCTATGGAAGAAGAAATGAAAGGTTTGTACATTGTTAACATTGGGGAGTAGAAATGTGGGGGGATCTGCCTCATAACAGCTGTTTTTACACCCAAAAGTGAGAGCCACAGCTATAAAAATAAATAATGCCCTACAATTTTTCACTCATTTTCCCAATCACCCTTATCTCATCTTTTTTTTTTATTCTACCAGAGTTGCCTGATTCTTAAGTTTCCCCTAAGTTCTAATTTTACATACTTTTTTTTTTATCATTTCCTCCCAAATGAACACAAATAAATTTTATTTCCATGGTTCACTTTCTCCACCATTTATGCATGCTGATATCTTAGTTCAGACTCTCACTCACTTTTCATTTAATTTTCAACTGACTGACCCTCTTCATCTGTAATTATTAACCACAAAAGCTTTGAATGTATTTAATTTTTCTCACCAACTGCAGTAACGTTAAGGTGATTTGATTAATTCGGCAAGGCATTGGTAGATACAGACTTTCACAACTTGAGGAATTTTTGCATGAACTATTTTGCATCAACTAGACCTAACAGATAAATGAAATCTTTGGAGATGGGATTTTGAAATTCTGTTTATTTCCGGGGAAAATTTTAAGTAAGCTTCCAAAAGCGTGTTCTAAATTATTTTCCCCTGAATTGCAAGTAGAGCATCCATCTACATTTCTATATAGTCTAGGTTCAATAACTTAATTTTTGTCTTTCAGGAAAATATAAGGACTCTGCAGCAGGAAAAATTATCAAGAAGTAAATTGTAGAGCAATATGGCCTTCCCAAGCCTACAACACGCCAAGGTTCCCGTTCTCTCTGACACACATATTGGGTAAAGCTGGGAGCTGGAGGAAAAAGTGAAGAACACAGAGAAGAAAGTGGAAGAGAGAGGGAGTGGTTTGTTCTGCTTTCTCTACCAGCTGATCATCTTAGAATACAGTGACCGAATAAAAATGCTGAGGAAGATATGGAGTGTTTGCTTTCGATAATTATTAACTTTCTCCTTTGAAGGATCAAAGAACTGGTTAGAACTCTCCTTTGAGGATTAGCCGTCTCTCCAGGTGAAGTGACACCTGTGAGATCCCAGCATCTCTCCAGGTGAAGTCACACCTGTGAGATCCCGTGTACCATGATAAGCTGTGGTAGATGGTGATGCAGAGAGCAGACAGTAGAAGGAAGAATCAAGGCTCGGCGAGGTGTTAGCGAGAGGGAGTGTTGATTATAACAGAGAGCAACAGGATACGCAATACAGAGGTAACAGTGAAACAAAATATCTTCCTCATATACATGCATGAGGTTTTCATGTATAAATAAACGTGTGCATACAAAAAGAAAAATGCCATGTAATAACTGCCACCCTTGCTGTTCTATTTCGCACTTATGACTGACTCGGGTTGCTCTGATTTGCTGACTCCTATTGCTTCCTATTTATTTTGTGGTCCACTATCACCCATGAATTCTTATTCTAGGACTTCTTAATAATTCTTTCATTTTGATGACTTTTGAGAAACTATTCAAATTTCTTCTGCAACTAAACATACACCTTCCTTTTGACCCCATGTCTTAGCTTTTTACCTCAAGGAAATAAGGCATATTCACAAGAATGTGCACAATAACTTTACCTATTAAAGTATAAATTAGATATAACTTACATGCCCATAAACAACAGAATAGATTCATAAACCAGATATATTCATATACTGGGTGCTATCCAGTGATGAAAAGAATACATACATCAACTTGGATGACTCTTATAAACATAATAGAAGGAAACTTTACACGAAGGAGAAATATTCAGTTAATACAAAGTTTTATATCACGTCAAACCAATCTTGAATAAATAAGAGGGCGATAGCTTTTGTGAATGTTTGGATGGGAAATCCAATGTAATAGATGTCTATAGGCATTTGTGGTACCGAGGTATATGTATTTGTCAGGAGAACGCTTAAGATTCATACGTTTTATATAAAATGGAGTACTGAGCTCCAGCTAATGAATGCCGAAGTGCTTCAGCGTGAAAGTCACTGTGTCTCAGCTCACTTTGACACATGTAAAAGAAATGGATGGGTGGATGGATGACCGATATGTGATGAAGGACGAACTTGTCAACCTACGATCTAGATGGTAAGCACACAGCTACAAGTCTCTCAACTTCCCTTGTGTGTGATAATTTCCACGACAACATGTTTGGGAAAAGGAAAGACTAGCATGCACTTCAGTTGACACTTGTGACTGACTATACTCCTGCACCACCACCAATAGTTCCCAATAATTTACATACATCAGCTCTCAAGGGAGAACTGAATTGTCAACTGAAAGGAATTTCCTATGATAACGTTCTTACACCTTATTTTCCCTAAAGATGACTTGCAACTTGTAGGAATTTATTCCGCCAATAACCTTTTAAATACCAGCCCACTGGGACACGATCTGAGGCACAGACAGGAAGTGTCCCTCGCCCCTCTTTTTCCTTTTGCTTGTTTGGTGTCAGAGTTTGATTATAACACCACAGAGCAGAGGAACACAGCGGCTTTCTATTGTGAATGATTCCCCAATAAACATTTGTTATCCTTTATCATGGGGTCTGTGGACCTCCTTTAATTACCCCAAATTCTGGCACCCAAAGTCCACTTGGCCTGAGGCTCCCCATCTCCTTCCTCCTCCCACCCGCGCCTGAGCACCGCCACTACCCCCCTCCCCTGTCCACTACCCCCCTCCCCTGTCCACTACCTGCCTCCCCCAATGTGTGGCTTGGCTGCCTGCTGCTATCACGCCCTGCCAATCAGTCTGTGCTCCTGCTGCTTGCTGAGAATCACCTTTGCTGCAGGAAGCCTTTCAGAATGTCTATAACTATAGACTTTCAGAAAGTCTATAACTAGGAATTCTAAACATTAATCACAGGTCCCAAAATCTCTTTCCTACACATGCTTGGGGCCCATAACCTTTTCTTGAGACATGGAAAAACAAAACAAAACAAAACAAAAAACCCAATGTAAATGGCTTGGAAAAAAAAACTATCTTAAATAATGTTTTCTATCATATTTCTTTACCAACAATACAATTTTCCAGATAGTCTATATAGGCCACAACAAAAGATGATGGGCTGAAAGAATTTCCATGTAGAATTTATTTTTTTCCTTCACAGAGAAACAGACCCAGATACATTTTTCTCACTTTCCTGTGGCTGAGGAACCAAAGAGAGCCTATATGATTGTGGGAACATTTTAGGCACTGATTAAAGACAGAACATTAGGAACTTTGGGAAGATGGTCACAGTGCTCCTTTTATAGAAAGCACAGATTGTAAAGAGTGACCGCTTATGACCACTTAAGCCAAGGCTCAATGTACCTCACATTATTAAGAATAAACTCTGCCATCTGCTTGATCATTGATATGTATAGAAGGTATGAGTTTTTAATTTTTTTATTATTTTAGTTGTATGTGTATTTTGCCTTCATGTCTTTGTGTGCATCATGCGCACATAGTGCCTGAGGAGTCAAGAAGAAGGCATTGGGTCTCCTGGAACTGGAGTTATAGATGGTTACAAACCACAACATGGGTGCTGAGAATTGAACCCCAACCCTCTGGAAGAGTAGCCAGTGCTCTTAACCCCTGAGCCACCTCTCCGGCCTCTGCAAGTTATGGTTTATGAGACAAAAAGAGAATTCCTGCCAAACAATTAGTATCAGTGGACACTAAGGTTCCACTTACAGATTTAAGCCCTTCATAAGAAATAAGAATCTAGTCTGTGCAGGGGGAATACACACACATTAATCTGCACACACATATATTATATGAACTAATCATGCTCCTGCTTAGATATTGCTTGAATTGAATTTCCTCACTCCACTCCCAAGTGTGAATATCTTTGGCCTGGTACTGGTCTCCTGGCCACGGGGAGCCTTACACCCACAGATCGGTGATTCATGGTACAAGTTTTCATCTATGGCACCTGTCCTGTTAAGCCTCACAACAGTTATAGATATTATAGATAATTGATATCTAAGTAACTTAAATGAAAAGAATACAGAAGAAAGAGTTCTTGTAAACTTGGTGTTTTTAATAAGATGCTGAGTCAAGCCATTGATTAAAACCTAATATATGCTTCAGCATTATTTAGTAAGAGTAAACAAAGCATCAAACACAATGCCTAATGTAGATGATGTATTTGGTAAACATTTGCTGAATGAAACTCAACAGCTTCTTCTAAAGTTATTATGAAGGAGAAAATTTAGTGTCAAATGGCTCTATTTTAGATATAGAACTAGATAAAATACTCTAGTTGGTTTGGGCAGCTAATTCCTGCCTGAGGTCCTGCCACATAGATGATGTCTTGCAGGACAAGACACCAAAGTACAAACTGGGAATTCAGGATTGAGTCTTTTCTGCTTCCAGCTCCAGCCCCTTCCATCTACGAGGACATTGGAGCCAGATGAGCACTAAGATGTTCTGCAGTCTTAATGTGGATTCTTTAAAACAAAGACTGTCTTTGACACAGGAAATCACGAGGATGACTAAAAGAGAGCCTCCTTCTACCCTCAAAGGGACTTCAAAAGATCATCCCTCAGACCATCCAAAAATCTCTTTCAAAGGTAAGCGTCACACAAAATATTCTCTTTGATAAGAAGTTAGACTTCTAACAAAAATTGATTCTTCAGATAGAAAGCCATACTGATTTTAGGTGATTAAATATATAGGACAAGAAAATATATCATTTGCATCTACATTTTCTGCTTGCTTGATTGGATGCCTAAAATAAGAGAATACGTAAATATGGTTCATATAAATTTTCTGTGACATTAAAACCTTCATAAATACTAGAGCTGGATCTTAAATGTCCCCAGAGGCCAATGTAAAGAAAGTTTGTTCTCTAGCCCTGGAAGATTGTGAAATCTTTAGGAGGTGTGACTAGTGGAAGGAAATTTGGCCATTGGGGACATATCCTTGAAAGAACTATAGGAACCCCGGTCCCCACTCCTCTCTCCACTCCCTGACTATGATATATGTATAGCTACAATCCTGAAGAAACATGGTAAAACAAGCATGAGTTAAAACTGTTGAAGCTAGGAGCCAAAACAAATCATTTCCTTTTTTTCAGTTGATTGTCTTTGGCATGTATTGCTGTAATGGAGAGCTGACACACAACAAGGAAATGGAGGCCTGGCGAGGTGGACACAATTCAGCATCTTCATGCGAGGCTTGGCAATTGGGAAGGTACAAGAGAACAAATGGTTATAAGCTAAGCGTTCTGCCTGGAGGAGATTTAGCCACAGACCCATTAGAATCTTCCTCCCAGCATCCTGCCACTGAATTGCCCCTTTCCTCTGAGAATAAGGAAGACACCTCTCACAAGAGCTTCCCACAAGTCAAGGTCAGAGAGCCCTCATGAACTCATTTCTTTCTTTTTTTTTTTGTATTTATTTATTTATTTATTTATTTATTAAAGATTTCTGTCTCTTCCCCACCGCCGCCTCCCCTTTCCCTCCCCCTTTCCCAATCAAGTCCCCCTTCCTTGTCAGCCCAAAAAGCAATCAGGGTTCCCTGCCCTGTGGGA